TGGATGGATGGATGGGCAGATGGATGAATGGAAGCAAGACTGCAGGTTCTGGCCCAGGGGAGAAGTGTATGGCTGGGCTTTTAGGGCTCTTCACAGAGGATGCAGCAGTCCTAACATTCCTACACCCCATCTCTAGGCTTGTGCACCCCACCCTCGCCCACTCTACACTCCCCTGGCCAGTACCAGCCGCTGGTCCACTCTGCCCCCCTTCCTCCAGGCCTGCGCGCCAAAGGCTTGGCCCCAGCCCCGCCCACACAGACCTCCCTCCCGCCCCCACCTTGTGCAGGTCCTTAGCCAGAGCCTCTTGCAGAAGCTGCTTGTTGTCCTGCAGGAAGCGGTCCAGGCCCTTGAGTTGTGCGATCCGGAACTCAGCTGCCCGCGTCCGCCCGGACCTGAAGGCCTCCCGCAGCCGCCGCAGCACGTCCACAAAAGGGTCCATTCTGTTGGGTGGAACAATGTGGTCTTGGGTGTGTCTTCCTCCCACAAGTCTCCACCTGCCTGGGAGTCTGCAGCACCCGATCCACTGACACCCTCCTTGCGCCACACGTGGACACTAGGACACAGAGTGACAGTCCTCCGTGATCCGCCAGCAGGCAGGAGGGCCCTGGGCAGCCGGGCCTGGGCGTGGGCTTGGGGAATAGCTACCCCCCCCCACCTGCAGGCAGGAGTCTAGAGGTGAGCCCAAGACATGAGTGGACAGGTCCCCAAGATCACCCCCTCACCCTGTGTCCCTCTGCCAGGTCCTGAGTAAACACACGTCTGACCAGCTGAGGGCGTGGTAAAGCCACTCACCAGCTGCCACCACAGTCACCAGCTGGGTACATCCTAGGCCCTCCGTCCTCGCCGGAGAGCCGCCTGCTGGACCCCAGCGGTGAGCTCATGTCCCTCTGCCTCATCTCCCTCGACAGATGGGGAAGGATTACCCCGCCTCCAGCTGCAGTGGGGGGGGGGGGGGGGGGGCAGCGGTGAGCTCATGTCCCTCTGCCTCATCTCCCTCGACAGATGGGGAAGGATTACCCCGCCTCCAGCTGCAGTGGGGGGGGGGAGCGCGGGCGCTGGGAAGTCACTCCTTCACGCTGTCACCAGCAGGCCTGGCAGAGGGCAGGGGCCACGACGTTCCCCAGGGCCCTCATGTTTACCTGAAGCTCATCAGAGGAGCTCTCTGACGCACTCGCTCCTCGGCCTGATGCCAACGACCTGCAAGGCCCTTCCTCCTCCTCCTCTGACTCCCATCTTGGAGGGCTCGGCCCAGCTATTGCCTCCTCCAGGCAGCCCACCCTGATTCCTCATGCCCCCCCCCCCACGCACACACTCTGCCCCATGTCCTCTGTCTTGCTTTAACTCCACCCCACTGGGGCACACGGTGCATTAAATGTCTAATTATCTCTGCGTGCCCCCCTCCTTCCCCCTGGACTGACATCCTTTCCTCGTTTAACTCTCCTTTAGACGCTCCTGCCTCGATTTCCTCATCTGTCAGCGCTCAGTGGTGGCACTACCAGCCACCTGCGGGGTGTTAGCCTATGCTAAGATCAGGCCCAGCGCTCAGCGTCAGGATCTCCGGCTTCCAGCCATCCCTGTCAAGCCTCACTTCTCCCAGGCCTCAGGTTTCTGGACAGGACTCCAGAGCTGGGGCCAGGCGCACCCCACAGACCTGAGGGACTGGTCACCATGGCCCCCATGAGGGCACAGAGGGATATTCTTGGAGTCCTCTTGGCCCTGAATTCTCCCTCTGGATACCCTCCTGGAGCCAAGGGGTGCTGGCCAAGGCGACCCAAGATCCAAAGGCCAGTGTCTCTGGGGCTTCTGCCTGCGGCCTGTCTCCTGGCTCTGTTCCTACCAGCTGTGTCAATCTGGACAGGTCAACTCACCCCGCCTCCTCAGTTTCCTTGTCAACAAGATGATCATAACACCTGTTCTGTGTGGAATGAATGATGCCACATGACACATGTGACATGGTACCTGGCATGCAGCAAGTGCTCAGTAAAACGGAGCTGGAGTTAGCGATGCTCAGTGCCAGAGACCTGGACCCCATTCCCAGTCAGTGCTCCTGGCGCAGTCACCTCTGTCACTGGAAGCTTGCATGCTGGCTACAGGGGACTTTATAGACTAAGACTACGAAGAAAGGCCTGGTGGTCTGCTTCCTTAGGAATCTGCGGTCTGATGTGCAGCGGACGGTGGGGGCTGGCACAGGACCTGCTGTGTTTTGTTCCTTTGTGCCTGGGGCCATTGTGGTGGGAGCCAGTGCCACGGCAACTGACAATGACCATGGCCAGCAGAAAGTCCTCTCAGCTCCAGTGCTGAACAAATATTGACTGCCTCCCCTCGCCCTGCCCCCGCCCCAGTCTCCTGTCCACAGAGCTGATGACAGATGAGACCTGCCCCTCTCCAGCCGAGCTCCAGAGAACCCACAAAAATGCAAGGCACGCAGCCATGTGTGGGTGAGATGATGGGGAGGTGGCTTTCTGGGGGGGTTTGGATAGAACATTCTAGAAGCTCCTCCTAGGCTCATGAGATCAGCCCACACCCAGCCGGCAGAACACACAGCCCCCTGCGGGGCCGCTGGTATCAGGCATCCCCCTGGAAACATGCCTCTCTGTGTGAGGCACCCAGAGGGTACCTGCTGGGGAGGAGGTGGGAGGGGTGGGCTCGGTGCAGGCCGGAGGAACAGCCACTCCACAGTATTGTAACAAAGAAAGTGGGGGCCTAGGAGGACGCATGGACTTGAGAACAGATTGCTCCAAGGTCTGTTGGCCCCAAAGCTTCACGCGGACTCAGTGCTGGCCGCGCCTCCCTCCCTGGCCAGGGCCCTGCTGTAGGCTCTCAGATGGTGTCCCTTCCCCAGTGCCCCCCTCCACTTGCCCGCTCATGCCTTCATTCTGCCTCAGTTTCTGCGTCTGCACCGCAGGCCGCCTAAGAGCGTCTGCCCAGTATGGTATGGACCCGGGTTTGAACACCACCTCCTCTGCATGCTGGCTGGAGCCTCTGGGCAGGTTGCTTGGCCTCTCTGTGCCCCTTTGTGTTGTTGCTGGGTGTCCTGGCGTTGGTTCTGACTCACGTGACTCCCCCACACACACCAGAATGAAACCGCCCGGGCCTGTTCGAGCCTCGTCTGCTGGAGTGTTGAGTCTGCTGTTGCAGGACCGCACCCCCATCTTTTTGAGGGTCTTCCTCCTTCTCACTGACCCCCTCTTTATAACAAGTCCACAGTCTACGACAAGAGGTCTTTGCTTCCAAGGGTCGTTCGGGCTGTACTCTGAGACAGGCTTGTTCGTTTCCCCCGAAATCTGTGATCCGTGAGGTGATTTCCACCAATATTAGAATTCAAGGGAGTCACGTCTTCTTCCGTCTTTACTCATTGTCTGGCTCTCACACGCGTGTGAGGTGATTGAAAACTCAGTGACTCGAGCCAGGCACATCCAGTGCTCAGAATCACAGCTTGGCTTTTCGTCTCCACGAAGAAGCTGTTTTGCCCATTGGACCACGTCACTGCTTCTGTGCAAATCATGGACCCAAGTGGAAAGGAAGCCTTGACAACTTTAGTCTCGTCTCCATTTGCCAAGACATCACTTCCAGGATGGTCATCGGGACGTTTTGTTCTGTGTTGAGGAGGGTCCCTACCGAAGGCTGTAGTTCTGAGCTGCATCAGTAAGCGCTTCAAGCCTTCCTCACTTTGTTGTGCAAAATACTGAAATGCAGGTTGTTGATGAATCTTCCTCCAGTCCTGACGCCATGATCTTCTTCACTTACTTCTGCTTCTCAAATGATTTGCTCAGCATACAGATTGAGTCAGAATAAACAGGTGCAACCCTGACGCACACCTTTCCTGATTCTAAAGCGTACTGTGTTTCCTTGCTCTGTTTGGACAACCTCTTCTTGGTCTGAAGTTTCCCATGAGCTTGCTTAGTTAACCTGGCATCCTTATTCTTCTCAATGTTTGCCATAGTTTATTATAATCCACTCAGTCCAGTGTCTCTGCACAGTCCAAAAGGCACAAGTAACCATCTTCCTGGTCCTCTTTGCTTTCAACCAAGATCCATCTGACATCAGCAGTGATAGCCATCGTCCTTTGTCCTCTCTTGATTTCGTTTGCCTTTCATGTGTCTCTGAAGAGCCCTGCTGGTGCAGTACCTAAGTGATCGCTTGGCTGCTAAAGGTCAGCAGTTCAAACCCATCTACTTCTCCCCAGTAGAAAGATGGAAGAACAGTCTGCTCTTGAAAAGACTCCGGCCTTGGAGAGCTCCTGAGGAAGTCCTCCTGTGTCCCAGGGGTCAGCAGAAGTCAGGACTGACTCAGCCGGAAAGGGCTCTGGTGTGTGGGTATTGAATGTGTCAGAGCCAACCAGGAAAACAAACAGATATGTCTTAGGAGAAAGTCTGAATGCTCCATAGAAGCGGGGGTGGGGAGTCGGAAGGGGTAGCAGTGCCTGGGGAAGGACATCCTGCTTGAAAAGTGGAGGGTCAGGGACACAGTGACAGCCACACAGGCTCTAAGAAAGGACTGTGAGGGCAGGGCAGGGCCGGCAGGCTTGGGACCAGCTGGACAGCCGCTAAGGACAGGAAGTCACCTCAAGGCACTGCAGGAAGGATTCCTGCCCTGAGCCGTACAGCGTCCAGGTGCACGGAAATGCCCAGTAAGCATGGTCCTGCAGGACACCTGACCAGGACACCTCTGCCATGGACGCCCAGGGGGGGAGGGTAGGGTGTGGAGCTAGAGGTGAGGACTTTACTCAATAGGGGTGGGGCTGTGGAGCCAGGGAAGGCAGAGAGTGGTCTCAGGACCTGGGGACCCCCATTAGAGGTGGAGAGACACCTGGCCAGTTAGAACTGTCTCCCGCCAGGTACCAGCTCTCCAGGAGCTCCCATCGTTCCTCTGGGTTTGCACAGGTACCCTCAGTCTCTGCCCCCTGGTCTCTCTGGCTTCAGAGCAGCAGGCCCCCTTCCCCATAGAGTCTGTGTGGCCTAGAGGCCAGTGAAGACCATAAGCTAAGCCTAGCCCAACCCCACGCCATAGGAGGCACACCCCAGTCCAGGCAAGGTCCCTCTGATGATAACATTTCACGGAGAGACACAGGGCAGGGCCTCCTGCCACGGTTGCTGGCAAAGTCCACCACCAAGAACGACTCTCTCCAGATCCAGTCTCTAAGGGGCCCCCGGCCGCAGTTCACGCAGAAGGCACACAAGAGTCTGCTGTGTGACTGGGTGCTGGAAACACCCAGGAGTGGGGACTCCTGAGTTTGGTCCCTCAGCTCCTGGAGGATGCCCATACCAGCAGCCGACAAGAGGGGCAAGGCAGCCAAGGCAAAGCCAGCATACCCGCTGGGCCCTGGGCCCCGCTGTCTCTCCCCAGCTCTCTCACACTTCTCTCCCTCAAAGGGAAGTTCCTCCCCGCCTTCCCCTTCCTCCCAGGCAGGGGATGAGTTCTGCAGGACAAGAGGGTTAGTGTGTGCGGCTGCCAACAGAACTGGCCCGCCCCAGTGACACAGCAGCCCATGTCCCCGAGCCCTGGCCCCATCACTCCCTGCAGTGGTGCTTGCAGCCCCGGCCTCCCCAGGATGCCATACCTGAGCCCGCCAAGCTGCCCTTCCTCCTGACTGCCCTGCTCTGCCCAGTGGCCACTGTTATGAAATGAGCACGCTGGGCCAGCCCCCGGGGCGGGGCTGCCCTGGCCGGGTGCCTGACCGCAGCTCTGGGCCACTGGAGTCTGCAGGCCAGGATTTCACCACCACCTCCCTGGTCCTCATGTCTGCTCCAGTCACAGCAGTCCCCAGGGGAGGGGCTGGTGGCCCAGAGCTGGCCAGCACCAGGCCAAGGCCGCATAGCAGGCCCAAGGAGCTCAGCTGAGAGGCACAGTCTAGGGAGGTGGCCCCGGGAGCTCCAGAATGGGGATACCGAGGAATCGAGAATGCCAGAAGAGGTCTTGCTCCCGCTTGGACTCCTCTGGGGAACCCCTGAGCCTCAGTTTCCTCATCATCCTCAGAAAGAAGAACTGAAGACGGCCGCAGTGTGACCCTCAGCTGTGTTTTCCGTCGGCTTCGCACCCCCCATGCATCTCCACCACAGCACCGCCCACCTCCTTCTCACGGCCCGGTCACCATCGCCCCTTTCCTCTTCATGGACTCGCAGTCCGGTCCACTGTCCTGCTCATGAGACCCATCCCCATCACTGTCACATCCACCCTGCCCACTCTCAGAGTCTGTTACCACCACCTCCATCTATTCAAGGACCCTGTCACTCACAGCACCACCCCGGACCATTCTGTCAGTCTCACTACCACCCCATTCACCAGCCGTCACCCAGAAACCCAGCATATTACAACTGAGGAAGCAAATGCAAGAAAGGGACCGGATCTGGCCCCCGACATGGGGCGGGAGAGCCAGGGCCGACACCCACGCCAGACACTGTTCAATCTCCGGTTCCCTCCACTTCCCGGGACCGCACACCAACCCACCCCACCGTCTGTGACAGCAGTCAGCATGGCAGATGTCACCGCGGTGGCCCCTGCAATCCATACCCCCTCGGTGCTCGAGCTGTGCCCAGGCTGGCAGGAGGGGACCTGTCACCTGCCCTCCCCACCCCCACCTTGGACACACCTGTCGGAGCCCGCACTAAGGGGGATGGCTCCTGAGCAGAGCTGGTACAGACAGGCGGGCGATTGGGTTACAGGTGTGGAGGAGGAACATCCTTTGTGCCATCACCAGCCTGCTGCCCTAGTCCATCTGGGATCCTGGCCCCGGGGCCTCTGGGCCAACCCAGCACCAGGGAGATGCTCCTCACGGCACAGCGCCCTCCCGGCTCCCTCTGCCTACCTGAGAGGGCAGGAGAGGCTGCGTGGTCCACCCCCGGCCCTGCAGGCCCTGGAGACTGCAGCCCAGTGGAGTGGGGACGGGGTGGGGGGGCTGCAGAGGGCCCCGTCTTCTGCCTGGGATGCAGCCCCCAGCCACCGCCTGTCACGTGGATCGACATGTGACAGCCCTGCCCTGCTGTCTGGAGCCGAGCCAGGCAGCGCGGAGGCAGAGCCAGCACCAGGCGGGGCTGGGCCAAAGCCTGGGAGCCCTTGGTCCAGAGTAAGCCCAGAGAGGGCAGCGATGAGCCTCAGGCCACACAGCAAACCAGGAAGTCACCGGGTGGAGGGAGAGGTGTTTCAGGATTCTGAGGACCCCTGCCAGGAAGTGTCAGGGGACCCCCTCAGGGCTACCTCTGGACTTGGTGTATACTTAGGGACAGCCCCAGAGGAAGTCCCCAAGGAGGCTCATCCTCCTGGGACGGGGACCCCAGCCTCCTGCGCGATGAAGCAACCTTGTCTGCGGAGGAGCACGCGCACCAGTCATTGTTTCTCAAGTCCCGGGGCTCCATGACAATGCTGCCCAGGAGACCCCCACAATGAGGACAAGGGTGACAGCAGGGGAACCTCGTAAAGTTCACTCTGTGGGGAGCAGACTCTGCCCAGGACCAGGACTACCTGGTCCAGTCTCCAAGGTCAAGTGGTCAAGTGGTCAGTCAGAGGTTGAGGGACCCAGGGGTTCCGAAGGTGGGTCCTGGTCAACCCAAAGGCACTCAATTTGAGCCCACCAGCTACCCCGAAGGAGAGAGATGGGAAATCACCCATGTGATTTACAGCCTCAGAAAACTCACTAGAGGATTAGCTATGAGTCAGTCTGGACATGACGGCAGTAATCGTGATGCTTTCTACTGGTCAGTCAGGGTTTACCGGACATGGGTGGGTCAGTAGGAGCACTCTCTCCTTCCATTCATGGGGGCCGGGTTTGATTCCTGGTCAGTGCACTTGCTATGTGGCCACCACCTGCCTGGCAGTGGAAGTCTGCGTGTAGCTGTGGTCCTTACCTGATCTCAGTGGAGTGTGCAGACTAGGAAGAAAGGCCTGGAGATCTCCTTACAAACCTCAAACAAGGGAAGCCTGGGGCCACAGGTGATTGGAAACTGAGCATGGGGATGGCTCAGGACCAGGCAGCATTGGTTCCGTGTGGACGGGGTCACAGGAGCCGGGTGCCAAATCTCCAGAGCAGCAAACAGTAACATCAGCCAGGATTTAGTTCAGACCAGAAACCACGCTGGGTTGATCAAAGAGTGCTGCATTTAGTGCAGAGACACAGGTGAACGAGAGCTGGGCAGCTGTTCGTGGTGGCTGGAGTCTTTATGAGAGCAGACGCTCTGATCTTTCCTTTCAAGGGTGGGTTTGATCTGTGGGTCTTTCGATTGACAGCTGCAGGGTTGCTGGGGACACTGATGAGACAGGCTCGGATCCTTTGCGTTTGTATTCTGTAGCGGATTTTGAGTTATATTGTGGTAGTTAGGTGCTTTTGAATTGACTATGACTCATGCAGTTCTGTGAAGGTCTGAGCTTTACCCTGACCTCCACCATCCACGTTCATGATCTCTGACATGGTCGAGCCCATTGTTACCATGTCAGTCCGTCTAGCTGAGGGTCTCCCTCTCTTCGGCTGACCCTCCACCTTTCTCACCATAATGTCACAGCATGGAGGGCGGCCTTTGCCAGCAGATTTTCCCAGGGCTAACCATCTCGGATTTCTTGACGGCTGCTACCTTGGGTGTTCATTGTGGATACACCTGAAATGAATTCATTGACAACTTTAATCTTTTCTGCGTCCTTTTGAAGTCACTGTTGTCAAGTGCCGTTGAGTCACCTGTGACCCTTGTGACCCTCTAAGACATGGTAGAACTGTGTAGACACCTGTCAGATCTTCAAGGCTGGAAATCTTGATGTGAGCTGACTGCCTCATTGTCTCCTGAGGACTGGCTGGTAGTTCACTTTGTCAGCTTCTGGGTTGGTGGCCAAACACTTAACACACAGTGCTCCCCAGGCTTCTCAATTTCATAAGGCATTTTGGTTTTTAAAATTTTTTTCTCTTCATTTAATTTTAATTTTATATTGGTTTGCTTACAGAAATATATATTGTGAATTATTCATGTACATTGTGTTTCACACATTCCTACATTCAGAGTGCATTTTTTATTATTAATTTAATGAAAATTTACAGAGATTTTGGATTTCCATTAATTCATCATTGTTGCACTATTCTTCCTGCCCTACCCCCCAGTTCGTTCTTCTCTTTGAAAAGTAAAAGAAAAATTCTTTCATTGTTTTACAGTCCCTCCCCCTAAGTCCACTCTACTATGCAGCCTTCACTCTGGATTCCTGTCATGACAATAATATCTAATCACATATCCCTTTTAAACAGTTTTCTCCCTCATCTGTTTCAATGCAGTATACATATTTATCCCATCTTCCTCAGTTTCCCCCCAACCCCGATGTCAGTCTTGTTTTACAAGAGTGGCACTATGTAGTATTTGTCCTTTTGTGACTGAGATACTTCACTCAGCATAATGTCCTCCAGGGTCACCCATTTTGAATACTATTGCATGAGTTCCTTGTTTTTCAATTTAGTATTCCATTGTGTGACTATACCAGGGCTTCTCTATCCAGTCGTTTGTTGATGGGCACTTAGGTTGTTTCCAACTCCTTGCTAATTGTGAGCAAAGCCGCGATACACATGGATGTGCATATATCTGCTCAGAGTGCATTTTAAACGATCATTCATGTACATTTTGTTTTATAAAAGTAACCACCATTGATCTAAAGTTATTATTACCCCATCTTTTCAGGTCCCCATTGGATCTTTCCTAATTCCTTCACCCCCCCACCCACATTAAGTATTTTAATGTAAAAATTACAGTCAGATTGCAGGCAGACTTCACGTGAACCGAGGTTCCTAAGTAATTTGGGGCTGTACCCACTAGTCCACCTAGCCAGATACACAGGTGGCACTCAGGCACTCACTGCCAACAGAGTCCTCCAGGCAGGGACAGGCGCAACTCAGCCACAGGAGATGAGGGTGCGTGTATCGTTAGACACCTCCTAATTCCGAACACAGGGGGGTGGGAAGGACAGCCAGACTGAAGTTTGAGAGGGGTCAGAACTAAATCGGCTGCTGGCAGGTGACTGGGCTCACAGTGGCCCCGCAGGGTCCCCACGGCTGCTGTGTATCTTCAGAAGAGGGAGCAGCTGATGGGTGGGTTTGAACTGCTAGCCCTTCCATTAGAAGATCAGCGCTTTATTCACTGCTTAATTCACCCGGAATGGGCCTGGGGCCTTTGGCCATTTCAAAGCGATTCTAAAGTGAGGCGGTGGGTGTCTTCTCCGCTGGGAGACAGGGCCAGGCCTAGGACGCAGTGGCCAGGGGCGATGTCGCGGCTCTCCAGCGCCGCCAGGAGGTGATGGAGAGCAGTGCTCCGGCCTCCAGCTCCCTGTGCGGAGGGAGATGCCCAAACTGACTCCAGAGCTGAGGTGGGAACCAGCCCAGGCCTCTCAGCTTCTGCCCCCCGCGTGTGGAGGCGGGGGTGGGGTGCTTTCCGCAGCTCTACAAACTGGAGGTCAGGCAGGGGGTGACAACCTGGGGGGCTCTGAAGAGCTTATTATGGGCTGCCACTTGTGCAAGGCGTAGCGGGAACTCAGCTCATTCCGTAGTAGCGATGGGAATGGCGCGCTTCGGAGCCCTGTCTCCCAGGTGTGGAGACTGAGGCCCAGGCAGCGGCGTTCACTCCTAATGGCCCTCAGGTGGGAAGTGGCAGATGGAGGACCCGAACCCTGGTCTCTGGAGCTGCTGCGGGCGCACGGACACTCGCGCGCGCCTTCTGGGCCCGCCCACTGCGCCGAGGGGCGGCCCCGGCCGAGGGGTGGGGCGGCGGGAGGAAGTGCGGCCTCGGGGTGCAGCCTGCGCAGGGTCAGCGGCCGCTGTCACTCGCGCCGTCGGGTCCGGCCATGGAGGCGGAGCCGCCGCTCTACCCGGTGGCGGGTGCCACGGACCTGCAGGGCAACGAGGACCCGCTGGGGGTCCCCGATGGACACGAGGCGCCGGTGAGCCAGGGTCGGGAGGCGCAGGACCGTGTCTCCGGCGGGGGTGAGGGCACAGAAGTCAGGATACAGGGCGGGAGCTGAGGTGGGGTGCAGAGACCCAGGGGGTGAGGGCGCAGGAGTCAGGGTGCAGGGTGGGGGCCGAGGTGGGGTGCAGGGACCCAGGGGAGGAGGGCACAGAAGTCAGGGTGCAGGGTGGGGGC